GGGATTGCTAATGAAAAATATTTGATGATTTTGGATGGTGACATAAATTTAGGGGATTCAGGAACTGTTATTTCTGATAGTGCAATTACTTCTTGAATATGATTGTCGTGGTGTCAATTTTGAGAAGGGTAAGAAGTAAAGGTTGATGCAAAGTAATTACCCAACATAAAGCACTAATCAGCAGGGTAAGATGCTTCTCCAGTAGGAGTGACAAGGGTGGGTAGATTGATAGGTTTGCGCAAAAGACGTCGGGTAATGTTCCACGAAATCTAATAATTATTGTAATCCTGGGATTCTTTTTGCCGAATCCTTGCTAAGATACCTTGATTCTCTAACTTTGAAGTCTTGTTTAGAGAGTATTAAATGTTGCAAGATTATTTCGCCTAGATTTAAATCAAGTGACATCGATTTCAGTCCACGCGAATTTGTGGAAATTTCAGATATGAATTATTTAAGAGAAGATCAACCACCTTTTATTTACGGCAGATTGAGCAGAGCTTTGGTGTGGATGACTATTATCTTGATTTTATTTGAATACTATTGACTACTAATTCCTAATCTATTAACTAATAATTCCCAAGCTCTTTCAAAGTTGTCTCCTGACAATTCAAGGTGCTCCGAAGCATATATGGTTCCCCCTTTAAATGTGAAAGCAGATGAATATATTTTTCAATATTGGTCAGTGAATCATTTATCACCACTGCCGATATGAATATATGACATTGTATGAACTGATTGTACATGCCCGAGAATGTATGCAATTTCACATGTGGTAAGCTTCCCATAGGACGGGAAGCTTTCCTTGCCTTAACATTTATTTTTCTGATAAATTGGCTCAGAAAAACATTGGCTTTTAAAATTCATGTACCTGCTTTCTAAATTCTCAAACGAGGGGGTAAAGCCATGTAAACCCTGTTTGATAGCTTCGTCAACTGTAAATCTGATATCCTTCCACAATTCTGCACCCCTGTCCAACAAACATTCTAAGTTTGGTCTGCTAAGATCTGAGAGAGAATTTAGATTCTCTTCGATGTTTGTCAATGCTGAATCTAACCATTGTCATTTCGATAACATCTGATATCTTTTAACAAGCATTTTGGGCAAAATTAGACTCGAAAGCGGGAAATTTAAAATGTACGATATTTTCTTCTGAAATGCCTTCAAATTGAGCTGTTTGAAGTGTGGCGCCTAATTTGAACTAATTTGGCGGTCAATGTTAACAATGGAATATTATAGGGATTATAAATTGAAGTGATTGTTGTAGTAGATTGACATTTCTTTTGAATAGCCACACTTATATTTTCAAAAATATTGTTTATATATAAAGGAAGCTGGTTAAAGAAAATTTTACGAAAAAGGCGACTCCATCGCTGCACCGACGTCACGGTCGGACTTTGTGATATAGAATATAACAGGGAATATAACTTTCCTCGAAGGTCAGAGATGGGTTTTCTGAATGCAAGCTAGTTGTATTTTATTACTACGCAAAAAGTAGGCTAGTATGTGAATATTAGGTGTTACAAAGTTTGCATTCCAAGAAATGAGACGGAGTGAGAAATTAGTGGCACTACTTAGAGGAATGTTTTATGAATAATATAATTTCATTGGTTGAAGGATGGAGTTGGTGAGTCAAGGAATAATTTGACTTAGAAGACTGGAGAGGAAATGCTCTACCTGTTGGAAGACAAATTGTTCCAACTGGAATGGCTGCCCAATGGGCGGGTGTATGAACTGTTTGAAAACATTTGAATATAGCGTAATTTGGTTTCGTAATGATGGCTGTGGAATTCTGCCACGGGAGGAACATGGTGTTTGTGGTATTGTAATAGGAATAGAAGGGGAAGGATGAGGATAGGCTACAGGAGAAGTCCTTGGAGATGTTAATGAACGTGCATGATGGGACATAGCTTGTTGTGCGAATTGTTGTCGGATGGGGTAGCCCGATGGAAATTATTTTCTATAGAGAATTTTTTAATAAATTTCGTGACTAGAGGAATGATGAGCCTTTCCGCCGAGTGAACATTTGGTGTTAGTACTAGAAAAAATTGGGCCGTGGCATGCGACCCCGTACATTTGCCGCAACGAGGCGGATTACCGCAGTTCATTTTTGTGTGTCCGAATATCTGACAGCCTCGACACTGCACTGGCCCGGTCTATGACGACGCTCTTCAACCGTAATTATGGCATTGAATAGTTCTTTTAGTTCATATATTGCCCTGATTTCTGATGATTTAGTTAGAGAGATTGCACATAAAGGTCAAGATCTACGATTAGAATCAGTCTGATAACCATTATCACTGGTAACTTTTTGTTTACTAATTCTTGATGTATTTCTTGTTCACTACAGGATATTGGGACATTTCGTAGCACCATAGAAATAGTATTTTTATCGGGTCCGTATAGGTGTGATAGTACAACCCTTTCGTTGGCAAGTGTTTACGAAATAAGTTAAGTCTTCGACTGTATTTGCTTAGATTTCAGTATAAGGTCCTCTGATTACAGCAACAAAATTTTCATGTTTAAACAATTCCTTAATTTCTTACAAAAGTTCTGTATGAACAGGTGGATCATGAATAATGATTGGAAGTATCTTAATTGGTCGATAGGAAAGAGAATCGTTAATTGAGGCACCTTACTCTGGGGCAGGGCGGGGTCAGGATCAAGGGTGGAAAATCTATTGCCGGTTGGGATGTTATACAAAGGCACATTTACACTATAAGAAATACTGTTGGATCCCTGTACATATGAAGCTTGCTTATAAACTGCATCTTTCAATCTGGGGAGCTTAAGAGAAGGAGAATGCGCTGCACATATCTGTTGAGAATATCCCACGGGTGTGTGTGTGTAGAAGATGCATGAAGGTTGAATTTGCAGGTTGTCTCCCAGCATATAGCAGATGTTGTTGCTGCTGGTGCTGTAGGTAATTAATTAGATGCGGTTCCGTATAATGGCTTATACAGCTGACGACACCGAATCTTATAGCGTCGGAAATGATGCATTTGCGTTTTCTGCTGTTAGTGGATTGAACATCTAATCTTACGAAACTATATTTAATTCTGAGAACACATTTACGAGAGGGAAAAAAAGCAATAATTATCGCTAAGTGGCCCGTCAGGGCCCGTCGTCGGGGCGACAACACCCCGTGCTGATGTGTCTAGTAATAAAACATTGATTAAAATGCACTTCAATGCACTACGATATTTAAACAAGTCACACGCTTGCTGAGCGGCCGTGAATAATAATTTTGAAGTATTCGTAGAATGAGAGATTAGACGGGAGTACGAATTACTGATTTCGCACAAATTACTGCACAGGCGAAACGTAGCTAATTTGCATACATTTGGCATAAGTGGAACATGATTATTGAGTCCAGGTCAAAGAGTGAAAGTAGGCCCTGGTTTTAATCTACTTAAGCAATTTCAAATATGAATGATCTTAATAAGGGACTTTTTGAAATGAAATACATTTCCTAGCACTTTTTTTGCCCCACTACTTTCTTGCACTTTTTATAGTGAAAATTGAAATTCGGGTATATTCACATGAACTTACTAGATGTTAACACGCCAATACACGTCACTAGTGAAGTATCTTTCAACAAAGATAATATTAAAAATCTTACTTTTCACAAATCGTCAATTCTGTGGGCGTCGGATGCCATTATCGCAGATTATCAGTGAGATTCATGAACCTAAATTAATAACTTCACTATATCATTACCTTCTCAAGCAAATTTCAAACCTGTTAGGCGTGAGAGCTTGTCTGAGGGCTACATATCGCAAATAGATGATGAGTTCATTTCCCTTGTACTTCAATTCCAGACTACTCCAGTTGTTTCCATATTACAAAAGGCTATTAAAAATACATTTCTGCTACTATTGTAGCCAAAATGTCATGTAGAGGACGCTTGTGTTCTTTGTTGACAAGAACGATTGCAAATAATTTATGTGCGCACCACTGCACTTAAAGTTCGCGGGGGGCGGGCAGCAGACTGTTCATACGCAAGCGATATTGCACTCACGAACCCTGCTTGCGCCGCATATAAAAGCAACGGAGACCTCCAACGCTCTAGTTCATCATCATGAAGCTAATCTGCACTTTCGTTGCGCTCTGTTGTCTGCTCCTGGCGGAGCCTATTGCTTCCAGGCGCCCAATAATCTTTGACGTTTACTAAGAATATTAAAATATTAGTCTGTATACAGTGATTTCCGTATTTTAAGACGGTACTTGCGAAGAAAAATCAATTGGAATATGCATCGATTGGAAATTAATAAATTAAAACTAGAAAAAGATTTTAAATATTTTCTTCTTATAACTTAGCATTTACCCCGACTACATAAATTTCCGTTAGTTATATTTTACTTCTCTTAGATAGGCAATTAGACTAGATTCAGTTTTTGAGAAGTTATTCTCTGCAACATCAGCAATATAAAATCATTACTTAATTCGTACTTTCAGTGATTTTTTTAAAATCTACTACGAAGACTGTTTAAATAAGTAATCTATATTTAGGAAGTAAACGACAACGGAAAATTACAATGAAAAGTACACATATTCACATGTTATAATAAGATAACTTCATTTTATAAATCAAAGTAAAATTTAGTAAAACTTAAAAATCGATAATCGTCGCAATAATTGGGCAAATATTTTGCTGAATGGTGCAATTCAAGGGTAACATTTTGTGTTTAAACTAGAAAATGCGAAGGATACAATAAACTAGCAAAAACATTAAATTTTCAGTTTGCATGAAAATTAAATTGTAATTCGTGGAAAAAATGAAGATGATATAAAAATGTTCTGGCTATTTCAGAGAGTGATATTGGAAGTGAAGAAACATGAATTTTGTCATTAATTAGCAAAGAAAATAATGTATTATCGCTTTTGCATGTGCTATTGATTGACAACGTAATTATTGCATACAATTATTGAAAGACAAAGAAGTTACGTTTTCGATTATCGTTAAAGCGATACGAGGTGAATAACGGCTGCGTGTATTTCAGCCGGAAGACGGCGCCAGGCCGGTTCGCCAGGCGGGGGAGGCAAGCGCGGACGCAGGTGGGAGCCCAGCCAGCGCAGCCGGCCGAGCACAGGGCTCCGGCAGCGCATCCGCCCCTCGGCCCGAACCCAGCGCCGCCAGCAGCAGCAGCAACGGCGTAAGCTCGAGCAGCAGCAACAGCGCGCAGAGCGCCGGTGGCTCGAGCTCCACCAACCCCGGCGACCAGCAGGGCCGGCCTTCTGCCTCACAAGCAGCCACCGGTCCCTCACCCGACCCGCCTCAGCAGCAGGCTCCGCCTCAGGGCTCGGACTCAGCGGCTCAGCCGCAGATAGCAGCAGCTCAACTGCCGGCGGAGAAGCAGCCCGACCTGCCACAGCCGCCAGCGCCGGCACAGGGATCAGCGCAGCAGCAGCAACCGCAGGCACCCGCCCAACCACAGCCATCAGCTCAGTCTCAATCGCCCGGCCAGCCACAGCAATCTCAGCAGCAGCAGCAGCAGCAGCAACCCCCGCAGCAGCAGGCCTCGGAGCAGAACCAGCAGCAGAGCCAGCCCTCGCAACAGCAGTCGCCCCCTTCCCAAGGGGCCCCGGCGCCCGCGCCTTCGCAGCAGCAGCGGCCGCAGCAGCCCGAGCAGCCCGCGCAACAGCAACAGCAACCGTCACAGCAGCAGGGTACTCCCACGGCTCAACAGCAGCAACCGGCTCCAACGCAACAGGCCTCGGCGCAGCCGTCCACGCAACGACCGCGCGCGTGGCAGCGGCCCGCGCAGCCACGGCGGCCAACGGGTTTTTTTCCGTCCATTTTCCAAGCGCCTAGCAGGTTCTTCAACACCTTCTTTGGTTGAAGCTAATGCTGCTTCATTACATGTACCAATTCATGGCTAAATAAAATTCTTGGAACACTTGCAGACGTCACTTTGCGAATACTTTTCATATAATATTTTGTATGATCAAAACGTAATTTCTAACATTTCTCAGAAGATATGTTTTATTTTTTATTTCAAAAATATTGGGCAGATCAATATATAGGTTTTGGTTTGTTCTCTTCATTCCCCTCGTCCACAAATTGCCACAAAAGCCTCTCACAATACTTAAAACGCTGATTGTAAATGCTTCTTCTCATAGTACTATTGCCAATGTAGTGAAGACAATAGCAATAATTTGAATCTGTATACTAAGTCTATGGTTTAAAATATTCGTAGTAAATGTATTACACTTACTAGTTGGAGTAGTGTATCAAATCATCTAAATATTTTTTTTTTCAAATATGTCAATATTCCTGACACTGAAATATGAAAACTTCAAGCCCCAAACACAACCAATATATCAGCAATCGTCTCATCAAATTAATTTTCTACATCTCTCTCAAACCCGTGTTGAGGCACTACTGTGCCAAGATGCATGCTGCCAGAGTCAAAAGTTACTAAATGTACACGCAACACAGCCAAATATCCTAATAAAGCAATAGTGAGACTGATTTCATTTTCCCACTCTTTCAGTTTGTGTTACAAAATGTATTTAAAAGCGTGTTTCTGCTACTCTTTTGTCTCATTTAATAATTAATTTTCTCCAATTTTAATGAATCGTAAATTCTCGGCTATCCGGGAGAATTTTAATGAATCGTTTTAATACCCGGAATTCCCACACGGTCTCTTTTACCATACTAAATTAAATTATAAATTAAAGATAGGAACGAGCGATGATAACAATATTTGATAAGTGTTATCATGATGTCATCAAAATGAGCGCTCAAGAAAAGATGCACATACAGTGTCCGAGCACCGTAAGGGACATAACTACCAGGTTAACCTCTTTAAAAGTTTCACCAAATATAACTGTTACACAAGGCTATCTGATTAGCAAGCAGACGAATTTACAACATGTTACAGTTAATTTTATGTATTAATGGAAATGTCAAATCATTAGAAACATACTCGTAAATTTATTATAATATGTTTACAACTTAGCTACTTTTATTCGACATGAATGGTACTAATAGCTCAAAACTTTTGTAGAATTTCCCACAAATTTGCACATTTATTTGAATATACGTATGCCGAAAGAACATGATAGAATAGAGTAATACTTAACTGCCATAGGAACCATTGTGACGATAGCATTCGTTCATTATCTCTCTTCTCTCTCTCTTCTCTCTCTTTCTCTCTCTCTCTCTCTCTGTATAATATAAAATATATATATATATATAAAAAGCAAGCAAAAATAAAAGGTTTTAGCTGTTCTTGTAGCTACCAACATCTGCGTCAATGATATTTTCGGAAACGAAAGCACTGACGCACTGTGACTTTGAGTTTTCTAATTGGTGTGATTTTGGCTTGAATTTGTCCCGGAATATATTTCGCAAATACTTGAAGTTAGTTATTTAAATACTTTACATTATTATTTGTCATTTTCAGAGTTATTAGTAATTATTTAATTGCATTAATATTTTTACAATGTTTAAATACTAAAGTTATTGTTATATTATAGTTTTTACATCAGCTTTTTATGGTTAATTTTAATTAATTATTTGAATATTTAAAAAAATCTTCAGTTGTAACTACTAAAATATTTTTTTATTTGAGGCTGTCTAGACAGTAGCTCATTGTTCTACTGTTTGCAGAAAGAAACTTGTTCATACACGAATATTCTGTTAAAAGCATCGTGTAATGATTTTTTCTTTACTCCACTGTCGCCATCTTATCTTTAAAAATGTATACTACTTCTATAAAACTCAAATATATGGTCTCAACCTTATCATTAATGTAATTAAATTAAACTTCTCAAAAACAAAATGTTACATTAATACTTCATCCCACAAAAGTGTTTTATACTCCATAAAATATATTAGTTTACCTGCATTCGAAGTGAGGCACATGTTTTTTGCAAGATTTTTTCTGCTTGGAAAATCATTAAATAAACAACCAAGGAAAATTTTACATACAAATTGAACCTCCAGAATTAAAGACAATCTAGTATGCAGGTGTTCGGGGAGGAAATTCGAAACTTCGCGAATAAGCTCTTAAGACAATTTTAAGCTCATTTTGTCTTACAAACTACGTGGATATTCCGAATGGTTGAACCACAATTAGCACTCAAAAGTTGATTTGAAAAACTGCTTTCTAAACAAAAATTTGCATTGGAGAAACATAGAAACACTTCAAAAGCATGTAAATTGTTTATTATTTACAAAATAAATTCATATATTTGTTTCGAAAGAAACATTAACACAGAAATTTTAAAAAAAAACACCCAATTTTCACAATTCAACTGCTATTTTATGTCTGGGTTAATTATTTTCTAAACAATTATATCCATTTCTTTTGTAAATAATAAACAATATACTTGTTTTTGGAGTGTTTCTATGCTTCTGCAATGCAAAGTTTTGCCAAAAAACATGTTTTCAAACTAAGATTTGAGTGCTTATAGTGGCTTAGCCGTTCGTAATATCCACGTCGTTTATTAGACAACATTTTCTTAAAAGTGTTAAAGAGCGTATTTGCGAAGTTCAGAATTTCCTCCTAGAACATTCTGTATCGCCTTGTGACTGCATACGGAAAGTAAGTTATCATTTCGTTATATCTACGTTATGCATACATGTATATATTGGCGTTTTCGTTTATAGAAAATACATCAATTCATTGAGAATATAAATCGCAAAATGGAGTAAAAATTGAATTTATATTGAGATTTTCAATATAAATATAATAAATAAAATACCATTAATTATTTTCCATATCCTTTTAATCCATTCCTGGTCTGCAAGAACTTTTATCACGGCCCATAGTTAAGAGGGATGTTTATTTCATTAATTTCAAGCAGAAATTACGCCGAAACGTCTTGATTTTTCAAAAAAGGGTATGTGATCAAATCAGCCTATTTTTTTAGAATAAATTTTGTTTAAGGCAAATATAACTGTCATCAATTTTATAATTTTTAGCTGTTAAAACGTTGCAAATTTTCTAAAACACGGAGAATTCAATGAAAACGAGATATGCGCCATTCTTTTAAGCGTTTCTGGTTCTATCTGTGGAAAAAATCGAAGAACAAAATTTAGTCGTTTTTTTATTTGCATATATTTCAAGCAGAAATTACGCGAAAACTACTCGTTTTGTCAAAAAATTGTACATCCCTTTTTTCAAAGATCTGATTTTTTACAACAGATTTTGATTAAATCAAAAATGTCAATTTTCAATTTTATATAATTTTTGAAAGTTATAATTTTATAATTTTCTAAAATACAGAGAGTTTAAGGGAACCAATTTCTTTACCGTTACGAGAAGAAAATTTAAAGATGAAATTAGTACTGTTCTTGAAAAACAATAACAGTCGCCTATATTTCAAGAAAAATTACGCGAAAACTATTTTAAAAAAATTATAATTGTACATGGCTCTATTTCAAGAACTGTCTTTAAAGAATAAATTTTAATCAGGAAAAAATCTCTTACTCTCAATATTTTGTTGTAGGAAGATCGAAAAATCAGTGATTTTAACGAAAATGAGACCTGCAATATTCACTTAAACGCCTTTTACGCTATCTGACTACAAAGTTTAATAAAAAAAGTTGGTGACTATTGTGAAAATTTTGAAAATCTCCCAGATTCTTCATGTAAAATACCCCCAAAATTTAAAATATCAAATTCATGGTTCCACGACATCAGCTAGATCAATTGGCCATTATCAATTTTTGAGAAGATTTGCTGAACGATTTAGGTTCTAACGTTGACCACAAAATGATTAACGGTCGGATTATGAATCAATTTTTCGGTATCAAGGACCCAAAAACATGGATTCTGACTACACAACGTTTTATAGAAACTCTTTTACAATACCTGAACAAGATTAATCTACGTTTTCGATTCCAGGGACCGGTAATCAATAAGCGTTTTTCTATTAAATATTCGTCGTTTTCTCGCAGTATTACAGTACTTTATATTGAGTGATAAAGTAACGACAGAAAGCAATTTTTAATTAACTGTCTATTCACAATTTGTTCCTTATATAAACCTTTGGTGTTTATTTAAAAATAAAATTAACTTGAGTGAAGAGGTGTCCCGTGAGAGGTGTCCCGTAGAGCTCTTTCTCATGTTCGAATTGAATTTTTAACCTTTTTTCAGTGATTACATAATTTATGGAATATTGTATCTATGACTGTGATCTAGCCAAAGTAAATTATATCAAATAATACAAGAGAAATAGAAACAATATGATTTTATTTTTTATTTTTTCATGTGCGTATTGTATTAAAATGCTCCAGCTATCTGATATACAAATATTAAATCTGCCACCGCATGTACCTGATTCACCCAGCTACTATACCTGCGGCGCGTTAGTGCAAGATATCGGCGTTTCTAATAAAATAAGTTGTAGCAATCAAGTCATGATTCATATCTCCCTGCAATCCGGTTATCGACCCGTAGATTTCTCAGCCGGCACGATCCCAGAAGAAATTCGCCTCTCTCAACCTTATAATTTTCTGAATGTAAACGGGCCATATTATCAGATGCGAGTTACATATCTACTACCCCACTTCCATCACTCCGAACCAGGAGTTATCTATTCTGGCAGGAAATCGACACCGCCATTGACTCACTCATACTAGATTAGATGCCCTAAACTTAACGACCCCTACAGTCTATCAACGCATTTCGCTTCCACCAATACCACCTGTAGTGAAGTAACTGATAGATTATAAACGATATATCCAAAAACACTGGTTAGTACATCGATTTCCTCCACTAAAATCTTATTTAAACCTCCTAACTAAAATTGTGAGACATCTTTTGTCTTGCGTCCACGCGCAAAAGATTCATCATCAAATTGCACTCGGCAAATCCATCTGATCATACATTGTGAAACATAACCCGACGTCTTATCAACCCCTTGCCCACCCACCCTTGTCACTCCAACTGTAGAAGCATCTTATTCTGCCGACAAATGCGTTATGATGGGTAATTACTTTCCATCAATCTTTTCTTCTTTCCCATCACGAAATTGTCCCCAAGATAACCATATTCAAAAAGTAATTGCACCACCAAAAATAACAGTTTCTGGATGCCCTAAATTTAACTCACTATCCAAAACCTTCAAATACCTTTCACTAGCGACCCCAATATTATCAAATGTCTATGATATAATATTAACTTATCTATTACAACGCCTTCCCTTAAAAATAATAATGCATATTAATGTCACTGTGAGACAATATTTAATGCCACTTTGAGACAATATTTAACGCCACTTTGAGACAAACGTACTTCCTTGATTAATGGAAATACGACCACATTATTGCCATTCTCAAGCTCGGGAATGCTCAAAATGATCCAACTACCTAACACTCCATTAGTTTGCTACTTAAAATGGGAAAGCAATTTCAAAAATGTATACACTCTAGGCTAAATTCTTACCTCTGCTCAGTTAATACTATACCACCTCATACGTTTGGATTCCAAACCCTTTTGTCTATGCATCATCAAATCTTACATCTAACTGAAGATATCATCAAAGGAGTCCATGAACACACCAAAACCACACTGCAGCTGTTTTTTTAGATGTAGCTAAAGCTTTAGATACCGTTTGGTATCCAGGGTAAATTTTCAAATTCCGCAGTGTAGGTACTGCGTTATATTTTTCACGCATCATTGAATTTTTTCTTACCAACCGAACATTTTTTGTACGTTTCCCTAGATCTCTCTCCACCTCTTTCATCATCAAAGCAGGAGTACACCAAGGATACACCCTCTTCCCCACTTTATTTAATGTCTACACTTCCGATTCGAACACTACAATTCACCCAAAATTCTGCAGTAGCTTTATTTGCTGATGTGCAGTTCTTTATTCCTCCAGTAGCAATCTTCAATCTGCCGTGAAAGATCTGCATCATCATCTCACATTGTTTTTAACTGGTCCAAAAAATGCACATTGAAATAAATTCAAATAAACGCCAGGAAAAATATTTATGCTCCATAAACTAGACGTCCCTCCACATCACACATCTATCACAAAATATTGCCTGGCTTCCTCCCAAGAAAACTGTCAAATATTTTGGAGTTCTGTTCGACAAAAGACATGGCGACAAAATATAAAACACCGAAGAGCACTAGCGACTAGTAGAGTTTATCAGTTATATCCAATTCTCAAAAAGGCATCCCCCCTTCAACTATATGTTGCTATTGTCACCTCTGTAAAGCAATGATACGACTCATACTTTCCTACGCTTCCTCAATCTGGGATGCCGCAGCCAAAACAAACATCAACAAATGCAAATTTTTCAAAATACATTCCTACACACCATCACAATCGCTCCCTGGTACATTCCGAATGCGCAGTTACATAATGAACGTGGTATTACACCTATTCCCGTTCACTTCTCCCTCTTATCTGTAAATTTCTATTCTAAAGTATTAAATATACTTTCAGCTATTCACTTTCACACAAGTAAGTAGAATCCTCATCGCAAAAGATTAAAAATAAAACCAAGATAATTTTTCGATCCCTTATAGTAACTAACTGATTACTATTTTCTCATTTTAAATTGTATTAACCGTCATATTCTATTATATCTAAAACTAAAATTCTGTATATAATGTATCCAGTGATGCTTATACAAGTATATATCTTTCATATCAATGTAATTTTCATATACGCCTACAGAGGGACAATGGCTAAGCTAGAATAAATAAAAAATACTACAAATAATTGACATAGAGATTTTGACGGAAAAAACGTAGCGTTCCTTACGTGTCTGGACATCGCTTTGGCCCATGTCGCGGCCCTTGTAATTTGAAACGACCTTGTAATATTTCAGATACTGTATATAAAGTCCCTCGGATATTTTCGAAATTTGGTTGAAAATGGTACTAGCTTTTTTATTTAAATATATTGCTTGATTATAGGAATGCACTCTTATAAAAATTGATCAGTGATCAAATTTTAACAAGACCTCTTACATTGCAAAAATTGCAAAAACAATTATTTTAACTCACTTGCAACTACATTATTGAAGGACGGGTTTTTCTTAAATGGAACCTTTTCTTCCAAATTAGTGCTTTAAATAATGTTATGTAGAATTTGTTGAAAATAAGAGTAGTTTTCGTATTGTTTTCAGCAAAAACTTGAAATTTTTAAAAAATCGTTAAAGTTGTTTGAAGAACACCTCCAAGTTTGTCATTAAGCGTGTTCATTAAAGTGTGACTAGATGTGATTGAATAATATGACATAGATTCCAATTCGGATAATAAGGCATGGGTCCATTTCCGGTCGTGTGACATACCTGAAATCCCCCCAAGGTGTTTAATAAAGAGAAATATCCATTGAACATATGTTTCCTTTAGAATTAAATGCATACTAATAGTATGTAGATCAAGAAATACACGTCGTCAAGACAACGGGTCATGAAACTTGTGTTCCGTGCTCGAGGGTCTGGACGTGATTCTTTTGCGAGGCATGGTCCCGGGATATTATGTTGAGTTCATGACAAGACGGCGTTGAAAATCGAGGTTTCGCGATTATTTAGATAGGGCTAGTCTCTCTCTTTTTTGGCCGCAACCGAAGTGGACGGTAATAATTTTGTGGACTTAGGCTGAGTAATAGATTGATATTAGGAAACGGGAAACGTATGTTAATTGTATGATTTGTTTATGTATTGTAGATAATTTGTAGTGTGAGGGTAGCATACTTAGCTTGGGTTGTAATTTGTGATTTTGGGGATTCAAATAAAATAGACTTGTGGAACGTACGTGGGAAATTAATATAGAACAGATTCGTAACTGAACATTATATATTTTTTAAGTTAATTAAATGACCGGCAGCTGCGAATGGGCGCTTCATCTGAGGCGCAGGAAGGGAAAGTCGCGTTCTCGGATTGCATTAATTGGAGTATATCAAACAGGATTTCCTGATAACATTACAAAACTTCTCCCGCTGCCAGAATTTACGACGATAGCAGGAGCTTCGCGAGGACATCCCATCGACGGCATCCGGAGAGAAGACCTCTGGAAGACCGGCGTGGAAGATATTTCCGTAAGCTTACGAACATTTATACAAGAAATACCGTACTGAATTAGTGACTACACAAATTAAAGATACATCATTAATGACCAATAGTAAATCAAATATAGATCTACAGAATAAATATCAATTAATTATAATAACCTGATATCCTGTAGACGTTGCAATCAATTTTTTTAATAACAGGATAGTACTGCAGAACTTCCAGGAATTGTGGCTGTGTGCAGACTCGCACGTCCACATATAATAATAATAATAATAATAATAATAATAATAATAATATAAGAAAGTTAAGTGTTATACGTCGAACCCAGGTTTAGAAAATCAATGAAATGTTTGAAATAGCAATATTACACAATATTGTAATAAATGTAATATTTATCCACATTTAATATAATTAATTAGTGGAAATTAATTAGTTAAATATAAAACTATCACAAATGGCTGCCCAACTTGAGGCATGACAAAATACATAGTTAGAAAGATTAAATTAGTAAAATCGTAAAACTATCTCACATGATGCGTAGTTTATTGAACAATGGTACTCAGTGTCAGTGAGTTTATTCTTTTTCATGCAGATAATTATACCATACCTTATTAGTTGTCGGTGGAAACAATATCTCGTTATTGTATTTATTCTGCGTTCCTTTCTTTGAATAAACAGATGTGCAGCATAGCTTTGTCACGTGAAAGGTGGCACCATAATACCCACACGCACATATAAAAAGATCCAGTTCGGCAGAAGGTATCAAGCTGACATCATGCGGTTCTTCTTTTGTGTTCTGGCAACAGTTGTGTGCTCTGTCCTGGTAAGTGACTCTAAAAATGATTCTGTTCACACTTTGTGACATAAAGATAAAGGTAATTAGCGCAGCTATTTTAGCCGAAGACTTTCTTGTTACATTTGTTGAGTTATTTGCATATTGAAAAAGTGTTGTTGGAATTTTATTAACCCATCAAAAAATTTTAAGAAGAAAATTAAGCTTTTTGGAAAATTTTGGCATTTTGATTTAACTGAATGCTAATACAGTTTTAGAAATAAGATATACTACACTGTTCGAGTTTTTTTTATTTCAAGTCACTGCTTAATACCACAACACATATATTTATAAATGTGACATTTGCACCTCAGTATATCGAACAACACAAAAAATAATATATGAACATTAAGTTCACAACTCGTCTCTTTGCCTATTTATTAGCTTTTACTTTGTTAAACCACTCCGCTCCAGACAAGTTCTTCTTTTTTACAAGTAAAGTGTTAAAATTCATTACGATAAAAAGTATTAGATTTGTGGCCTTCGGATTTTAAGTTTTTATCATGGTTATTTTGCCCTATTTACTATGAGTTACTTATAATAATACTTGTATAAATAATTCACTATTTCCGTCCACGGAAAAGCGCTTCAACAGATGCATACCAATGGGGGATGAACGACGAAACTTGTGTAGTAAGGAATTTCGGATTCATCGTTTAGGACTTCCATTATTAAAGCATTTCCTTACTCTAAGAGATGACTGCCAATTGTTATCGGATGTTACAAGGCAATTCGAAACCGTCGCCACGCGTAATCGTTCCATACAAATATCCACGTTCTGTTACAGCTCGGTCTACACAAGTAAACGTTTAAAAATTTTTAGTATCTCGAAACAGAGGACAGTTGTGCTTTTGGAGAAAGATTGTGAAAGTTGAATTTGTTCTCTTTGAAGAAACTAGTAGTGCTACAACTGCACATACATTCTCGCATTACTTCTAATTTGATATTTTATAAAATTCAGAGAGTTCAAAAGAAAATTAGACTTGCGTCATTCTTTTAAGTATACCGTGGAAAACATTTGGAAAAATGGAGCTGTTTTTGGAAAACTGTATATTTTATAAAATGCATGATTACAAGCCCGAATTACCCTAAAACCATTCGTTCTTTAAAATAACTGTACAGAATCATTTTTATGGACAGATTATTTTAAAACTTTGTGTTTAAGACAAAAATCTTCAATTTTAAAATTTTAAATTGTTAAATGTTTGCAATTTTCGAAAATACAGTAGGATCTCCAAAAATTAGACTAGCATCTGCTTTTCATCGTCCATTGATACTTATGAGGAGAAAATTTAAAAAAATGAAAATTGCTTGTAATTAACGCGAAAACTACTCATGTTTTCGAAACATTGTACATAATCTTATTTTTAGATCTGACATTTGACATATTTTATTAAGGAAAAATCAATATTGTAGTTTGTTAAACGCCGAAGGAAATTTGAACTTATTCAATTTTCGAAAAATTAGGTATTTTAACGAAAATGTGACCTGAATCATTCTCTTAGGCGTCCTCTACGTTATCCGAGGACAAAGTGAATGTAAATATATTTTTTTAGAAAATTTTGAAAATGATATTGAGGCTTGAGATAAAGTATCCCCAAAATCAAAATGCCCATTTCAAACTCGCAAAGCTCCAAGTTTGTTTAGATTCATTGGGGCGATTTTGGAGAAAATCGACTAAACGGTTTATGCGCTAGCGTTGACCACAGTCAGACGGATAGGCGGACGGACGGACGAATAGCCAGATGCTTGGCTGCCAGTCGATTTTTCAGTATCAAGGTCCCACAAAACATGGATTCTGACTACACGTGTTAGAGGAAATATTTGACTATATGTAGCAACGGGAGTCATCCACTTTTTCGATTACAGGTGTCGTCAATAAGTTTTCTGCCAAAAATTCGCCATTTTCCGGTACACGATTACAATACTTTTCTTACGAAGGGGGGAGGTAAAAAAGGACATAGTCACCTATGTGACCGCGGAAAGAACAGTAAATTTAGAATATGTTCATGTAAAACTGTGACCTTGCTATCCTTCAAACACTATAAATATTTTAATGCGAACGTGCGATATTAGTTCTTAAATAGACTTTCTTTTCTTCAATGATATTGCAATTTATTCTGGAGTACGCTCTTTACCCCCACTCAAAAACACACACACACACAGATTTTTCTCGAGGTATCAGAATGTCAATGGTATGGCAACTGTTAAAGAATCAGCTTTACTTTCTCGCACTTACTAACATAAGAGAAAGTATTGTAATCGTGCACCGGAAAACTGAATTTTAGACATAAATATCTTATTTCCGGGCCCTGGTAAGGAAGACGTGGAAAAATACAGTTGATACGTTACAAAAAATTCTATAATACGTGATGTAGGCAGAATCCATATTTTGTGCGTCCTTCAAACCGAAAATTCGACGGCAAAACGCCTGTCTGTCGGTCTGTCCGTCTCTGCACAGCGTTAGCGCATAAACCGTTCAACCGATTTTCTCCAAAACTGCCATTCCACAATAGATCTGGTTGATGTCGCGACCCATGGATTTTGAAACCGATAATTTAATTATGAGAAGTACTTTACATGAAGCCTCTCAGACATTTTCAAAATTTCCAAAAAAATGGCTCCAAATTGTTTATTAAAGTTTGTTGTTGGACGTTGTAAAGAACGTTTCGAAGTATTGTACTCATTTTCGTTGAAATTCTTAAATTTTCGAAATTTAAAAAGAGAAGAAAACATTTTAAACTACAAAATTGAAAAATGAAGATTTTTGCTTCAAAATCTGTAGTGCAAAATCAGCTCTTTAAAAAGTCACATACATTTAAAAAAGAGTAGTTTTTGCTTAAATTACACTTGAAATGTACGCAATTTTTTTCTCTCGAAACACCGCTCCAAATTTTCTCCACATCTGTAATAAGAGGTGGTAAAAATATGGTGCATGTTCCATTTTCGGGTATTGCTCGTTTTTTGGATATAGTAAGCAAATTGAAAACTACAAAATTGAATATAGAGATGTTTGCCTCAGACAAAAAAGTGTTGTACAGAAATAACTCTAAAAAAGATCATGTACAATTTTTTTTGTAATTTTAGTTTTCGGGTAATTTGTTTGGAATTAATGAAACACATATGGGTGTCCCGTCGTACATTGCGAGAAATTGTTGACAAGAGATATCATTGTAATGATGAGATAATTGAGATTACATTGTAATATTGTGAGGAAGTGTGTGCTGTTGTAGCACCACTAGTTTAGGCTTCAAATGACGTACATAACTAGTGACAACTCTCAGTGAAAAAGAGAAATATAGCAGGTAGTGTTGAAACTTTTTATTTTCCCCTTTAATGTCATTTATATAGTAATTATTTAATGAATTATTTGATGAGTTGATTACGTAGAAAATCGAATATCTCTGGCCATATCTGCAACGCAAATTTACGTTCAAAACTGGGTGTTATTATTATTTATTCCATGAAAAATATTTGTCTTCGAATAATTCAGGTTTCATCAACTTGGGATTATGGTTACGTACATTTCATGCACTGATGCGAAATGATTGTGATGTACTGTTTGCAGGTTCTAGGCCAGGAGGGACCATCAGGAGACTCGCCTCCTCCCGCTCCGGCCAACGGCACTCTTCCTCCCCCTCCGGGCAATGGCACCAACCCCCCGCCGGGCAACGGCACCAACCCCCCGCCGGGCAACGGCACGCGCCCTCCCCCTCCCCCGGGCAACGGCACGCGCCCTCCCCCGCCCCCGCCGTCCAACAGCAGCCGCGTGGACTCCGAGCCTCCCAGACAGGGCTTCTTGTCTCAGCTGGCGGGGTTCTTCAACCGCGAGGGGGCCCAGCGGCAACCCGGCAACGGCGGCTTCCGTCGCCCGGAGCCGTTCTTTGGCAGATTCCAACAGAACCAGCAGAACCAACAGAACCAACAAGATCGCTTCGGCCCCTTTCAACGGAGACCGTTTGCGTTTGGTAAATGAGGACGTTATTGTTGCCTGCCACCGCATACAATAAAAACGGTGGTAACCATTAATATTACTCATTACTCAAAATTTTAATTTTCCAATAGCCTGTTTCAAATTGTATGAAATACACCTTTTTTAAAGTAAATTATATCATCCAGAAAATGACAATTTTATTTATTTATTATTTTCACCTTTCGTACCTGTGTAATGGTTTATGACATTTGTTGTTAGTATTGTAACTGCAATATCGCAACATCGATATAAAACTGTAAACAGAATCAGTATAAGTATTATTAAGATGATAGTCACTTTATATTAACAGGTAATCTCGTTTGCCTTTAAAGAGGTTGGAGTTGTCGAAATAAAGATATCACACCACTTCAAAATTCCTTTTGCTCCTCCTAAATTACCCATGTACGTCGGAGCGACAGGGACTTCGAGAAAAAATATCTGTCTGATACTGAATTCAATTTCCAGAGTAAGGTGGTGGCAACACGGATACTTTCATTTATAAATATTGTTTATGTGCACCCACGTTTATTTGCAAAGAAGTTATTTGGCAAAATTCATTTTGTGACATCAAAAGAAAAATTTTCAACGTTTGAAGGTTTGATTTTTTACAAAAGATTAAGCTTAGGGATTTTCAATTTTCGCAACTCACATTTGCTTCTTTTTGCACTAATTTACGAATCTTGTTTCTTTAATTGAATTGATCATGGGTTTTATGAAACTTAGTAAAGTTTCATTTAATGCATGATCAATTCTTTTCATTTTATCAAACTTCTTTAATTATTATCCATCAAAAGCTCGATGAAATAGTAAAAATAGCAAATTTCTACAGAGATTAATTGATGTAGTTTGTTTCCTCGGTATCCATGAACTGAGTTTCAGCAGCCACGGCGAATCTACTGATTCTGTGAATAAAGCCAATTACCGTGATTTGATTCACTTAATCTCAAAGAACCATCCTGTACTAGTAGGTCATAAAAATAATTTAATTTCCTCAGTTGCAAATGTTGCGTAGACCAAGATTAGTCAGGAAATAGCAGAGAGTAGTTTTGTTGTATTGCTCTGGATGAAAGTACAGATGTCATTGATATCAGTCCGCTTTCAAGAATAGTACGTTATTTATCAAGAAATGGGTCCATTGAAGAAATATTTTTAGGATTTCTGGACGTATCGGATAAACATTCTTTGTTTACCTTGTGGCGGGAATATCTCTCTTACTTGCGAAATAATGCAATATACTCCCTTACATTTTTTTCTTAGTTGCTCTGTTGTGGAGTACGGTGGATTGTTTTGAATCCCCCATTCGTCTTTCATGTCTTTATTTTCAGTTTTCGACCAGTTCTCAAAGTCTTCACGGTGACATTTTCAAGGTATCAAACGATGCTTCGTGGCAAACATGTTCCCTTTCTCTGTTTAATAACATATAATATGCAATGGTACAATACCTAAGAGACTCACATTCTGAAGTACTTCGTTTCGGCTCTGAGACTGTCACATACTGATGTGCTAGAAATGCTGATTGTTCATCATAGCATAGTGCACGGAACTTCTCAAAGAGCTCCCCTTTCGGGACACAATATTTTTTTCAGCATTTCATTCTTCTTTGCATTGACGGAATACATTCTGAAATGAACACAACCAGTGATCCATTGATGCTATTATCTTCATCGAAACCGAATTATAAACCAGCATGCATAAGCTTTGGCGGATACAACGATGTTTTACCCATCCCGTTTGGACTCTCCAATACAGGTTTCCTTACATTACTTGATATCTACACGTTTTTCTTACATTACAATTCCATTTGTCAACATTCCGTCTTCTTTTCTTCTCCCTATTACTGTCTTTTTCAGAGGACGATGAAATACTGATACGCTCATTTCGCGCAATCTTGCCAGCACTTACAACGTTGTTCCATGTTACTCAAAATTTGAAGCCAGATATTTCACGCAAAAATAAACTTATCCGTTCTAATAAAATGGCAATGGGAGAACAGATTCATATACAACATTGTTCTATAGAAAACAGCAAATTGAAAAATGTGTCACGACGTTGTTCCAACTGCTTCTTTAAACTACTTGTATCGCTTGTCATAAATGCGCTGTAAATAATAACATCAACGTCATATCCCTGCATTCTTTGTTATTGTTTTTGTTAAAAAATTACACTCATGTATTTTTTGCATCTCAATCACATTGTTAGTATTTTCATTATGACCATTTTTATAGATTATCCCTTTCGTTAGTACAACTGATTCCAATAATTTATTATTAGCTTTCCCAAAACTCAAAAGTTGAGTGAAAATGAGCTTTAAATTTGGAATTTTAAGAAATGATCAAACGACATTTTCTGAAGAACGACTCCAAAATTTTCACGTCACTTGAGATGTTTTACATTGTAACATATTTCAATTTTACCATTAAGAGACGGGCCACAGCGGATGGCACATCTCAAAGTAAAGTATGGAGGATATTTCCCGAGAAGCTCCTTTTTCCGTATCATCTTCTCTTCTATGTGTGCAGGATTTTTCACCTACCGATCATTCACCACTGAAGAACTTCTGTCGATGGTTTCTAGAACGAAACGTCAATCCATTGTTTTTCAGTTTTGTATACAGAAAAGGAAGAAATGCAATTACAAATTTTCAAAATCAGCCCGTATGGACAGATCGTAATCCTCGTGCAACTGAAATTGTAGGGACTGGAATGTCCATACGTTCTCCCAGCGCGTCGTACAGGTAGTGACTGATAAACTCGGTGGCTAAATTTAGAAAAAATATCCACTAACACATGGTGTAGCCAGAATCCATGTTTGGTGGGTCCTTGATACCGAAAGCCGATTGACGGCAAAACTTTTGCCTGTCCCTCTGTCCGTCTCTCTGTCCGTATCTGAACAACACTAGCGGCTAAACCGTTCAACCGATTTTCTCCAAAATTGATATTTTCGAAACGGTCTAGCTGATATCAAAGTTCTTTGAATTAGAAACAGATATTATAATTTTGGGAGGTACTTTACATTAAGCTCCTGGAACATTTTCAATACTTAAAAAAAATGGCTCCATCGATTTTAATTAAATTTTGTGGTTGGATAGTGTAATGAACGTTTAAGAGAATGGTGCAGGTCTCATTATCGTTAAACACTCTAATTATACAAAAATGGCCAAAATTCTCATTTTTTGGCGACTTCCTGCAATTAAAAATTAAAGATAGAAGTTTGTTTCTTAATTAAATCCTTTCCTTTAAGATACATTTTGAAATAAGGTCAAATACAATTTTTCAAAAATTTAAGTATTTTTCACAAAATTTTGTGTAAAATATAGGTAATTTTAAATTTTGTTTAAACTATTTTTTCAGAAACTTCAACATTTTTATGAAATTTTGTTGTTGTATAGTTCAAAAGACCTTTAAGAACATGATGCTGGTGTCATGTTAGTTGAAAACCTTAATTTTTCAAAAATTGACAAAATTTAATTTTGTTTCGGCGTCTTCTTACAACTACAATTACAAAAATACATTTTTTCTTAATGAAATATGTTCATCAAAACGGATCTTCTAATAAGGTCATGTTAAATTTTTCTATAATATGAGTATTTTTTGTGTTATTGTGCGTCCAACTTAGTCTCTCGTTCCAAAACGCCAGCCTTTCGTGATATTCATATTAAGTGTTTTGAGACAGTTGGGTATACTGTCTGGTTGGGTGCTAAGTTATATAATAGTGAGAATGGTTATATTATTTCATATTCCTTTGTTCGTTTCTTTCATTGGAGTTATTCTGTTACAAATTAATCTTTTAGAAATTATTTAAAACCTATTTAAAATAAAGATTGCTAGTCTTCAGTCACCCTCTCTCAATTTCGCAGTTGGATGCTACGACTGACGAACGAAAACGACTGCAATTGCTTTGACTTGGTGGGAAGACAAAGCAACACGAACACAGAAGGATGCTAGACATTGACTGAACCGCATAGTTGATATCTTTATTTGCCGGTAAAAATGTGCTTTTGTTTTCAATTTGTGTCGAGTATAATTGATGTGTATATATTAATATGTGTACTCAAGATTTTTTTATGGAAATGGATTTTAATATAAAATGATGGTAATTTCTGGAGTTCGGCGAATCGCGAGTGGCTAACATTGTTGAAGCTGGCACATCTGGGCACCTCTGGCTAGGGAAGTGAACATTTCAATTCATTTCGACGCGTACATATTAGAAGGCCAATAATGTTTTTAGCACTACAAATAAGCTTCAAAAGCAATTGGCCATAAAAAAAGAATATGCGCCATTGTGTGAATGATTTTCTTTCAGTTCATGTATTTATGTGTGAATAAGTTTTGAATTAGTGTTTATTTTTCAAATCAAGAAAGAATCGCAAATAGAATGGAAATCCAGCATATCTTTACCCACATTCAAAAAAGGAGACAAGAATAATCCTGAAAATTATAGACACATCACTCTATTAAATACGAAGCAAAACGTGCTCTCTAAAATGATACTACAAATAAGGCCATTTATACAGATAAATGAAGAACAACGAGTAGTTTCTTTAAATAAATCAACAACAGACGCCATATTTGTGATTCGCCAAGTAGTCGAAAAGGCGATTGAATTTGACAATGCAGCCTTCTTATGTTTTGTAGATCTAAAGAAAGCATTCTATTGTGTAAAACTACAAGATATAATAGGAATCTTGATAGAAAAGAACATACCAAAGACATTAATAAAAGCAATGGAGAATATAGATATGAACACTGTCACAAAAGTGCAAATTATAAATATGGTAACAGATGAAATTACATGTGCATCTGACATTAGACAAGAAGATTCTCTAAGCCTTATTGTTTTTAATTTAATTATGGACAAGCTTATTGACAGTGAAAAAGAAATGTCAGGATATAGAATGGGTGTAGACGGAGAATATCTATACTGTGCTATGCAGATGATGCAGTGTTATTGGCAGATTCAGAAGATGTCTCGCAAAGACTCCTACAAAAATTTTC